AGTTTTTCTTTTTCAAGAAACTACGGTCTCACTATTGAAGGTGCAACATGGGGTCTGGATCAACAGTATTGGAAAACTCAAGAAGTTAGTAACAATCAGTAACAAAAAGCTTTGTTAAATGTACGTCGGGAATATTGCAAGAAGTTATTGCAAGATACAAAACAACACATGTTAATGCACTGACTAAGGCAGACCCAATTTCGGACTGCTCCCTTAATTTTCTGCAGCACCTGCCTGATTAAATGTAAATCAGGTGGAAATGTAAGGGTCTCTTTCTAGTGGCTCTGGTGTGCTAATGTTTTTCATTAAAAGAGTTTTATTTATTAAAAGTATTTGATGTTGGCAGATCATAGGCAGTAATAAATGTCAGTGCAAAATTAAATAAAAACAGGACGTTGTGTCTCCCCTTCACTTACGTGGGACCATTCTTACGAGCGAGACAAGCGGGATTTGGCCTTGTATATAGGGTGACGTTTGTGTGTGGCCCCTCCAGGAGGCACAGAACACACAAGCTCTGCCCGGGGCCCATCAATGCTCTCTTGGAATTCTGGGCTGGTAGGGGGCAAAATCAGCTCCCAACGTAACTCAAGCAGCGAGGGACCTGCTCTAAGTTCCAGCAGCCCTATGTACATGAATGGATCTGCCCTAGGCGGTGCCTGCAGCAGAGTCATTCTTTCCTGACTTCCTTCTAGCCCCAGCCTGGAAGTCGAAGCAACCCTGCAGCCCAAGCCCTGTGAGCCCGAGTTGGCTGGCACAGGCCAGCCGCAGGTGTCTAGTTGCTGTGTAGACATAGGGGCTTTTACAAGCCCTATCTGCTGCTGCAGAGGTGCTAGAAACTAATGACCCGTGTGCACCTCTTCTATACTGTCCTGGGGACTCAGCTGGTCCCTCCGCAGCATCACTCACATGAAGAGGTGCTGGCAATGGTTCAAGGGGGTCCGACAGCAGCGTCTGTGATGTCATGACCAGTACTAGGAGATCCCCAAACCCTTTCAGAGACAGGGCCTTCAGGCTGCACAGAATGTGGACAAGTTGGGTTAGCTGACCTGCCTGCTAGATTCGATGCTCCCTGGTCTATTTAAGGAGGCTTTTAAAACATAGTCATGATGGGTTTGTTACTACCGCTGTCACATCACGGGTTAACACAGTTGTTACCATTTTTCTCCCCTAATGCTGATCACACACACTGTACTTTGACACTATCAGGCAGGGCTATACAGGTGCCCTGCAAGACAAACAATTCAGGCGTGAATTAAAACACCAACAAAGATAAAGTGCAGATAAAGGATTTAAAATAGAAATCAGGTTGCCAGGATCTGCCAAATGGAAAACCTTTTAAATGCACTGTCGCAGCGGCCCTGAGATCTGGGGCAGAGGGCATTTCACTGACCCATGGCCAGAGATGCCACATGGAACCAATGGGAGGAGAAAGAGAGACTTTCCCTTGCTCAAAAATCTGCTCCTTAGGTCTAAACTGCAGGAACTTCCCAGTCAGGTGACAGCTTCCCCCCTTCTCCTCCTCTGAGGGTTGTGCTATCATTTGCTTTCATGAGACATTCCTATTGACCGTAGTCCCCAGCTGTAGAGGCATCTGGCGCCTGCCCTTCGCAGCCAATGAATGTCACAAATGTACCACTGACTGGAACTGTTGCTGGCGTTGGGATGCTAGGGCCAAATTCTGAGCTCCTTGTTCAGTTCCTACCCAGGGCTGACTCAGGCATAACGCCTGCCATAGCCCATGGGAGGTTTGGCCCAGTGAAGACTTACGGGTCCGAGCCATGATGATGCTGACACGTGCATTCAGAGCCAGAATTTGGGATTTCCCTATGCAGAGAGCCAGAGAGCTATGACTGCTCTCGGCCGTCATTCCCATGAAAAACCCTTCCCCACTCTGTTAAAGGAAGGGTTTGCTGCATCCTGGGTGGTGCCTGGAGCCATAGCACAAATGAGCCCCTCCGGAGCCAATTCCACTTTCTCAACACATGGGTTCTTTATGCTGGGCTCCGGATTTCAGAGCAACCGCAAATGAAACCTAATGAAATAAGTGCAGAAAAAGGACAAGTGGGTAATTAAAGGGAGGAGGAGAGCGGTCCCCAGGGAGCGATGGAAGAAATGGTAACATTTAAATCAGCCCTTAATACGGTGAATGTGTTCATGCTTACATTTCTGGCATCAGGCTAGATTTGGAGGAGAGTGCGTCCGGAGAGGAAAGGGAGAGCAAGAAAAGAGTAATAATGGAGAGAAGCGGTGCTTAACCCTTTATTCTCCTCCTCTCTCCTCTCTTCTATGAAGCCTTGCAGCTAGAAGCCCACATATCATCCGCTCTTTGCCCTGGATTTAAAGATGGGTCCAATTCCAAATATGAATCTTGGATCCACTCCACCCCAGGACTTTGCGTCTAGGGCCCATCTTGACATACACAGCAAGATGTTATTCCATTGCACTCACACATAGAATTCCAGGGTTGGAAGGGACCTCAGGAGGTCATCTAGTCCAACCCCCTGCTCAAAGCAGGACCAATCCCCAAACAGATTTTTGCCCCAGATCCCTAAATGGCCCCCTCAAGGATTGAACTCACAATCCTGGGTTTAGCAGGCCAATGCTCAAACCACTGAGCTATCCCTCCGCATCACGGGGATCTCTGCTATTTCTTTGTTTCAGTTCATTTAGGGCTCAGTCCAGTCAACTGGAATCTTTCCACTGACTTCACTGGGTATTGGATCAGGTCCCAGTGGCACAGCTCCTGTCCCTATATGGAGCTGTGTAAATAACAACAAAGAGTTTATTCACATAGGTTTTCCCAAGAGATGGTATCAAGTTACAAATTCACAGCCAAACCCAAGCTTCTGAGCTGTCCCTTGTGGATCTGGGTTTGGATGATGAACAGCACAAAGTTTGGGATTTCCCTATGCAGAGACCAAGAACATGATTATTATGCAGCATACGAAAATCTGATGGTGGTAAAAGAATCAGAGAAATGCAGGAAAAGGAGGAAAGAACTAATGGAGAGAAGGAAGGGGAAAGAGATGGTAAAGAACTAATGCAAGGAGGGAGATACATTCTGTGTTTCGGAGGAAAGCAAAAGACCCATAATACATGTGACCAGTTGTGCAGTGCTGTGTATTAGACAGTTCCTTCCTGGCCTCTCTACTGATCTGTTTGCACTCTGAAGCTGTAATTCTATTGCCTGGATTGTTATACCAACCTACAGAGCTAGCAGTATTTTTGAGGTCACATCCTGATTTTTGCCTTGCTGGCAAGCTCACTAGCACTGCATGACACCTCAGGGTCTCAGGCTGCAGGCAGTGTCAGGCTGGGGGAGCCCTTTATCAGTTCTTGTTCATGTGGGGCTTGCACCCTGAGGGCTGGGCTTTGGGTCTGGAGTCTGAGCAATCCAAACATTCAAAGTGACGCTCAGGTGAAGTTACCAATCTTTGCCTGGTTTCAAATCTGATACTGCTGTATTCCATGTGTTGTCCTCCCAAAACCATAAACTAACCCAGTCAGTCCAAAACTCAGCATTAGAGACTCACATTCCTCTCTTGATTGCCAGAGCCAGGATCAACGGGAGTGGGTTAGCAACAAACTCAGCCACGAGCGTTTGTTAAACAGAAGTATGGACTAAGCACTGGTCTGGCAACCACACACACCTGAATTACTGTTCTGGCCCTGACCTCCCTTTATGGGGTGGTCTCGGGCAAATCATTTGACTTCTCTGCACTTCAGTCATTCCATTTGTAGAATGGAGATGCTACTGACCTAGTTCACAGGAAGTTGTGATGACTAAGTTACTGTTTCTCCAACAGTAGAAAGGACTATATATAATCATCTCAGTGGATAGTTCCCTAGCACAGTTTTCCATCTCCTGGGCCTTTAGCCAGATTTTCCTGGACTTAAACACTAGAACGCTACATTGCAAAGGCAGATATGTGACTTGGGGGACCTGTTTCTTTCCCCTCAGAAAATCTTTCCCCTCAGATCAGAACCCTGAGCTGGTTTTGAGTTATATTAAGCAACAGGTAAATAATGCAACAAGTAAATACAAAACCAGTGGCACAGATACAGGACCAAAACGTGCAGCCCCTGGGAGGGACGTCTTCTTACACAGAGCCCTTTGGGCCCCTTGGCATGTACCCCTGCCCTTGAGGTCTGGGTATCCCCTTTTGGTGCAGGTACCTGCCTGGAGCACACACACACTCAGACTCATATACAACATGCACATATAATACACACGCCCCTCCCCTATTAACAGCAAGTTACTCACTGTTAAGGTGTGATAGGCTGCTCCAAAACCAAATCATTTTAAGGGAGATGCTAATAAAAAAATTATTTGATTTGAGGGGACGGCGGGTAAAGCCACCCTGGCCTTCTTGCTGGGTTCAATATCTTTCTGCTCTCCACACCACAGGTGGCGACAGGGAAAAGTTTGCAGTGTCATTGGTAAACAGCAAAACAACAAATCAGAGTAAAACTGGCACATTGAAGAACTTGCCACCTTATCCTTTTCTAAAACCCAGCTTAAAGGGTCCCTTTATCATCCTTTCTTTGTCCACTCGGGCCACAAAACTTATACCTGTGTCTGTCAGTGTCAGCTCACCTTAAGACAATGAAATTAACATGGCTTCTCCATCTGCTCTCATTCAAATCTAACATCTCTCTTCCTTCTGGACAAGCCACAGAATTGTAACTTGCCATTGTTTCTCCTTCCCTCTCAGACTCCAGGTAACGTGGAAGCCCAGAACAAATGACAGAACGGACAGAGACATGCAGACACAAAGACATTCTGCTTCAACTAAAGTACTGATGCAGCAAGGAAATAAGGAGACAAATAGTGGTGCAGATTTTGACAGAAATTAGCATTCCATTCTCCATGCAATCCATCCATCCCAGTTAACACGTGTGAGATCTACCCCCAAAACCCTCATTCACAAAACCCATAATCAAACACTTTGATTTTCTCCCCACTTTGAATAAAGTGAACTGCAAACACAGCCACTTACTTGTAACAGCTTGGAAAAGAGAAGGCAGAATAATCAGGAAAAGCTTCATGCCGGCAGCTCTTGCGACTATAATCCCAGGCTAGAAAAGATTGAGAAGTCTTCTGGGTTACTGTAAAGCAAGAAGAGGAAGGGGAGGAGGGAAGGGAATTCTGGAGATGATGTGGCTCTTCTTTTGCTAACATGTACACGTGTGCTCTGCTCTCCTAGAAATGCACACACCAGCCCACGACATGGTGCAGGCTTCTCTCTGCAAGGTGCTGTTGGCCTCCGTCAAGCCACGTTTCTTCCTGCACCCCAAACTAGTGAAAGTGGCACGCAGCCCCAGGACCAGAAGATATTTGCAGTTCCTCTCACCCTCACATTTAAGTTCGCGGGGGTGGGGAATCTTCCTTCGCCACCGGAGTTAGGTGGTCGACCTTTCCCCCCCCCTCCCCCCGCTTGCACCTTGCTCACCTACCTCTATGGAAATGGCACATGAACCTGAAAGGATCTGGTTTAAAATGCAGAAGGCTCAATTGCTTTGTTTCACTTGTCTCTGCTGAGGAGGATTCCAAAGGCAAACAGCCCTTTAGTCCTTGCTATGTGTCTGCTGATTCAGATGATTGTGCAGCTGAAGGGAGCTGAGTCTCTGAGTGGCTTCCCTGCAGGATGCCCAGGTCCTGACTAGGAGATGAGAGGAGGGGGTGATTTTTTTCAATGGCATAACGAGGACCTGGCAAGAGGGCCCTCTGCTGGACATGACTTCTAATGAACACTGCTTCAGATGAGCAATGTCTCTCTTCCTTACGGTTGGTCTACACACACAGTTGTACCGCTTTACCTATAACAGATGAGTGAAGTGGTACAACCACCCTAGCATGGACTCAATTGTATCCATATAAAAGTGCTTATACCAGTACGGCTATTCCCATAGTGGAGGAGGAATAGACGCCTTTATACTGATATCTCTGTGTCCACACTAGCAAACATACTAGGATAACTAACTGTAAAATTTCACACTCTCCCCCTCAACCAAAATAGTTACACAGCTACAAAACTCGTGTGTAAACCTGGCCTTAGAGATGGATGCCAGCTAGTGCTGGGGAAAATAGCAGCAGTGCATGGTTTGCTCAAAGAAAGATGCCTGGTTTTGAATTCATGAAACTTTTGAGCATCTGTAGCGTCTCCTGCAACCTGCTTAGCATTTGTGAAAAGGTGTCTCGTGATCTGAGCCCAGCACTGGGAGCCGGCATGGGCTGAGTTCTATTCCTGCTTTTGCCACTAGCTTCAATAATAAAGTTCACGTATAGAGCAATTTATATACATTGCTTATTTATGGCTCATAAGACCCCAATGGACTGGTAGTGACAGCTGACTTCTGGGACATGTGTGCCTGGGGATCTGCGACGCGATTGCTGAGAGGAGAAGGAGGTGAAGGGGTTGATGAACCATCCCTGTATATAGAAGCCACAATTGTGAATGGTCTTTGCAGGAGGAGGAAGTGGGGAGAGGCTTTGCACCTTCCTCCGTGCACCAACAAAAGGGCCAGGCACTCACTTCCTCAGTGAAAGGAATAGGGTAGCAATTTAGACCCTGGACAGGTGTCCAGCAGAACTGAAGACAAGACAGATTAGGTTCCTGACGCTTCCATTGCTGTAACTGTCCCTATTCCGTAGCTGTAGGGGGTGTCGCTCCTGTGTGGCCCACCCTGATCAATGTCTCTTCCATTATTCCCCCAAAACAAAACCCTGTACCAAGGTGACCTTACACTGACAAAGAAATCAGCCAGCCATCACCCAGGTACTCATATCTGGAAGGACAGTGCTTGTCAGTGGAATTGATACACTATGTACAGTATCTTGTCACCATCTGCCTTCCATCCTTCCTGGACATAGACCCATTTGCAGCAAAATATGCAGGAAGAAAACCCTCTCTTCAGCCTGCTTGTGCATCTGTTTCAGTCACTGGGGGCAGGAGCAGGCCCCTGGTCTTCTATTGCTCTATCAGCAGCCAAGGTACAGGCTTAGTTTATAATTTAGCCATGTTACTTTGTCCATCTCTAGCGCTTTCCAGTCTATGGTCCCAATACACATTACAAACCTTAACGACTGGGCCTCACAACAACCCCTAGCAGGCAAGCTGAGTTTTCCAAGGGGGCTAGCTGAGGCAAAGAGAGGAGAAGAAACTTGCTCAAGATGAGACAGCAAATTCCTGCTAGTGTTGGGATTAGAACCCAGCAGTCCAATCCGCACAAGTGGCTGCTCTAATCCCCTAGGTGACACATTTCTAACAAATGTCTGCTTCCTTGGCCTTTCCCCTTTTTGGCGGGAAAATCACAAGGGCTGATATCTTCCAAATGCCACCCATTTAAGGTATGGTCCACAGTAAATTGTGCATATATTTGTGACCTCCACCCCCTTTTCTCACACAACCAATGAAATAGTTACAGTTTTGGCACTGAAATCATGCTCACTGTGCGTCTGAGTTAACCCTTCCCTGAAATGAATGGGCAGACGCCTCTCTGCATGAGTTACACTCGGTTCACGTCTTTCAGGGGTTTCTCTACAATCATAACCCCTAGAGACTTGCTTTCTATTTTACATGATGGCTGAGATTCTGGAGAACAGGGGGCATATATGGTGTATACAGGCGTGTACCTGCTGTTTCCAAGCCCTGGGACGTATCCTGTTTGAAATCAGGGTAAACCATATCAGCACAAATCCTGTTGCACTAGTGTGAATCGTGTCTGTATTAGGGGTTTGCACTGGAGCTAGGGTGACCAGACAGCAAGTATGAAAAATCGGGACAGCGGGTGGGTGGTAATAGGCACCTATATAAGGCTCCAATGTGACCGCTCTGGATAGCACTTTGAACTCCGATGCACTAGCCAAATATCCGGACTGTCCCTATAAAATTGGGACATCTGGTCACCCTAACTGGAGCAGCTATTCCAGGCTAACAATCTAATGTAGATAAGGCCACCGTGTAGGCTGGTGCCATTAGAAATTGGGCAAACAAAATTGGCATGTGAAGGTGGGATCAAAAAACAGTTTGCAGCTGGTTGAACAGTGACAACATTTATTTACAGATCTATTAGACTGAAGGGCAAAATTCATGAAATACACTTTTTTCCAAACGTTATTCAACTCTCTGTAGAGCCAGCTGAGTAAAGACCAAAATTAGCCAGGAATGTTTTATACACACAAAAACATGGCAGATAAATTATTTGCAAAAGAATAACCAAACCAGTTTAGCAGTAGGTAAAGGAGAGGGAAGGCAATGCTGACACTTCCTGTCCTGAGGAACCTCCTCCACTGGTGTTATTCAGGTTTCTATCTAATCTAATCTAATCTAATCTATGGGTTTTATACTGCTGCCCTTCACCTAGTATCTGAGCATGTTCCACATAAAATCAATCGCAAAAGCAAAGCCTCTAGCGGACTCTGTGGAGCCTCTGGATCACCTCCTTTTTTAGGGCAAAGCCGCAAAAACTCTGGTTGGGGGTATTTTTGGGTTTGTTGCATTGTGTGAGGGTTTTTTGAGGGGTGCAATACACTTGCAATCATTCTGAGTCCTGGCAATATTAGCTCATAAAGAAAAACAACCTTCAAGAGACATTGCTTTGACTCTGCTGTTCCAAAAGTGCAGCATGGGCAAAGCTGTGTGTGAAACTTCCCTGATTTACAGATCACTATTTACATGAAATAATCCCCAGCCTGACATAACACCTCCCCCTCATGAGACCCCAGCCAATGGGTTTCTGCTGCATGCAAAGAAGTCCAATGAATTGCTAATTGCAATTTGCATCGCAACACATTCCCTCCTTTATCTCCAATTTTAAAGGAATGAGATCCCTGGAAGAAGACTTCCCCCCCACACTTCCCCTCTGATATTGACTAGGTCAATCATTCTTACGTCAATATCATAAGGAAGCAGAGAGGAGCTTTCAAAGGTCCAGGCATAAAATGTGTATATCAAATTTATTTAAAATCTAAGGGTACTTTGAAACTAAAAACTGACCAGGGGTGAGAATGCAGCATGGGAAAAAAACACAGAGAATCAAAATCTTTCTTTTTCAAACAGAAAATAAAGTAGTTGGGAACGCAATTGTGTTTCCCTGGGATGGGGAACTTTTAAGGGTTTAAAAATGGTTTAGCCTGGTGAAAATTCTTTAGAGAAGAGGAGTGTAAATTTCATTCTCTTTGTGGAGGTTTCAGATTTGCACCATCAAAGCTAAAAGCTTGGCTTACAGGCCTAGAAGCTGGATTGGGGCTTGATATCACAGGACAAGCTGGCTTTTCATCACTACAAAATGAAGTTCAAACCTTGGAACACTGGGGACACTGCACTAGGATCTCAAAGTGACAGATATTACCAGCTGCTTAAACTTCAAAACCACAGCTACTTATTTAAAAGACAAATCAAAGATCCAAATTGAAAATCCATGTTGAGGGTTCACAAAACACGATGATGCTTCAACTCTGTAATTCCCAGGGACTCAGCAGTGTGACTTGTGACTAGCTATTAGGCTGTGAGGAAAACTGTCTTGGCTACACATGGGAAGGTAAAATAAGAGGATCTTGAGAAAATTCTCAGTGTCTGGCTGAAATGAAATCCTGTGGGTGTGCAGCCTGCTGCAAAAATAACACAAAAATGGCAGAATTAGTACAGAATGAATGTTATGCAAACACTTCAGGGTCTGGTATGTCAGGCATCTGCATGGAGTTACACATATGCAGCATCGCATACAACATCAAAGAAGAATTAATCACTCAAAGTTACACCACCACAATATTCCAAGTTGGGGCTGAGCTGCAGAAATTGGATCCAGACTTTTAACTCTCCTAAAGTTCAGGGGTGTTTGGAATTATGGTTTTGGTTCAAGAACAGACAAAATTGGAGTGGGATTAAGTTTTGGCTTGTGAAATTCCATCAAAGATTTGAGGGTTCCTAGTCAGGATTTTGACTTGGACCGCTCCTCTCCAGGGAGCTACGGAATCAGAAAGAAGAGAGAGACTCATCTCCAATTAGGTCTGATCTACAGAGAACTGGGAAACTTCAGGTTTATTTTTATTAAAGAATTTGTGACTCAGTTTCCTTTCTCATCTTGTATTGTCACCCAGAAGGATGAAGGAGTTAATTTCTTTCTCTTCTGATGGGGGAGATGTGACAGATGAGACCTAGAAAGCATGGAAATGCCAAAGACTTTGCCAGATCCTATGGTTATGGGGGCTATTCACAGACTTCGGTATCAATATGTATCTTTGTGTTCCTGGCTTGCTGGGTGGGTTGCCTTTGGAATCTGGAACCACTGGGGAGAGATTAAGGCAGAGTCCCAATGCCATTTATGCAGATACCCAGCCCTTTCAAGTGTTGCTCTCTGGGGAAAGTGACAATGAGTGGTGTTACTGTTTCAGGAGGCCTGGGGACCAAGCCTGTGAAATTGGATGACATATCAGCCTGAGACGACTCAAGGTTGACTCTCACTTGATATAAGAACTGACATGAGACTTTAACCAAGAGGGCAGAGCCCTGCTGGAAGGTTTTGAAGCAGCGTTCGCGTCATGCTGGAACACTCCAGAACACCATTCCAGCACTTTTTGGG